GAAGAGTGTGGCTGTCCCCTCCTATATATATTAGGATTGTGTCCTTGGTTGATGGTGTACTCCTCGGTGCAAATGAGATCTTTGTTGTTTAATGGGCAAATAATTTTATTTTGGTATTCAGCCGGGGTCTGTTTACATCTCAGCAAGTTTCTAAACCAACAGGCTGTTCAAGTTTTCACATTCTGCTGTTATTAGACTCGATATAATTGACTGTCTATCCTCAAGAATAGGACCCAGAATTACTTCATGCCAGAAAATGTTCAACGGTGGATTCGCTGCTGTCTGGATTTTATGTGCCCTGATAAACTGGAGGCTATTAATACCTCAAAGACTTTCAAGGGCAAATCGGGATTAAATAGTTATAATGTGAAGGGAATTTTTATTTACGTGAAATATGCTTTTTAAATGGCACCTCCCATGGTATTCGTATAGAGAGTATAAGATGAGCTGTACATGCACACTTTGATATTAGCCTATCAAAGAGCTCTGTTACTTTGTAGCGTGTGCTCTAAAAGTGGTTACGTCTTAATGTCTCAAGCGCAAACTCTCATGCCGCCAAAAATTTGAATGCCTCAGATTGCTTCATCCTGAAAACAAAGATCCCTAATTACCAGCGATTTTATAGTCTGGCCCAGTTTTAGGACAATAAAATTTCAATTTAAGAATTTAGTGTTAAACGGTTAATGTTTTCTTTGAAATCTGCAGACTTCTTTTGTCAGCTGCAGACACGGGAAATATAACGTAGCTTTTGCATAACTGAGCTGCATTCTCACACTGAAAGAGGATAACAATAAGATTTAATTACTGGTAATTGTGCTGCAGTGACTGAAATTAAAACTGTAACAGCCTTAGTGTGGTAATTTCCTAGCGAGGAATGCTGTAACAATATGCTATTTCAGTTTCTGTAGTTTTGGTGACAGTGCAGCAAAAAAAAAAGAAAAAAAAAAAGACCTCGCTTTAATTGGAGGCTCAGTCTCCCATGTCGGCAACCACCTGCCCTGATTAAGTGCGCCATGGGCCACTTTGACCTCTGACCTTCACTGACGGGTAGCAAAGAGAAGCTTCCGCAGTGTTTCTGAAAAAGCTATCATTACATCTAAACTGTCATTGCTGAATGGGTAAACTGCATAATACCTGTCACACTGTTTCTCACGCTGCCTAGTCACAACTTGTCTAGACATCCTCATGCTCCCCCGACACGTACCCCTTCCAAATCCTGTTAACGCCGGCAGCCTGCGCCACAATAACCTACATTCCACAGTAATCACACTCACTGACACTGGCGTGCGAGGATGTTGGAAGCACGACAGAAAAAAAAATGGCAGCAAATCCCAGGGACAGAGCGCGAGGGTGGAGGCAGGCTGCTGACACCCAGAGAGGGAGGGAGAGGACTTTTCTTTTCTTTTTTTGTTTATTTTTTAGTGCATCCAAATCTTTTCTGGAAAATGAGGATATGCATTTTGGAGTACCATATTGCTGTGGCGGTGCTCCAAGCTTCTATCAGCTTTGAGGACAAAAGGAAAGAAAGAAAAAGAGAGGCAAGGCTCCAGGCTGACTGAGCCACACACAGACGGATAAACCCACATTCACTGCAGGAACGTTATCTGTGACATTTGTATTTGATTTACACAGCTGCGGTTACATCTCAGCTTAAAGAGGAAAGACAGCTCATTACGATATTTGACCAGTGTGTTTGTGTGTGTCTGTTATAACTGAGGTGTAATCATTTTAC